TGCAACTGCTGTTGTCTCTCTTCTTGTTTCTTTTCTTTTTCATCCAACAACTGCTGTAATTTCTCTTGTTTATTTTGCTGTTTTCTTGCAACTGCTGTTGTCTCTCTTCTTGTTTCTTTTCTTTTTCATCCAACAACTGCTGTAATTTCTCTTGTTTATTTTGCTGTTTTCTTGCAACTGCTGTTGTCTCTCTTCTTGTTTCTTTTCTTGTTCTTGTATTGCTGCCATCAAGTCTGCTAAGCTGTAGTTTGATTTTCCGCCTCTCGTTTTCTTTTCTTTTTCTGTCCCACTCTCTGCCACCAATTTGTTACGCCTCCAGTCGTTAGTTAATTTTTCGTAAATTCGTTCCGACGAAACTTTAGCGACACAAGTCCTTTCTTAAATAAAACTGGTTTATTCTTTCCGAATACAACTTTACGATACACTTAATTTCAACAGTCGCTCTATAACAACACTATAAATCACGTCTCACGTGGCCAACAATATTTTGTCCGCATACATTCAATTACTCATTACCTACACATTATCCCGTCACGTTGTGACCATCTTATATATACCAGACTACCCCCAATCTAGTAAATGCTGGGGCATTCCTGAAGGAACAGGATATTTCTAGAAAACGGGTGGCGTGATACTAGTCACGTGACCTCGCTGACGCAACAGTATTTTTCACTTAAACGGTATATTTTATGTACCATATTTTGATGTTTGTTTTAATATTTCTTGAAATATTTTATTTTTACTTTATTGAAATACTTTTATTAACTCATGTTGTGTATTTAAGAGATTTGTATCATTACATGTTCCTTATATAGTTATCGCTTTAATTGCGGAATAAGATCCTTTCTGTAAGTGTAAGCTCCTTCGTAGTTAAGCACAAAGCTACACATTTGGCTATTTGTGCTCTGCCCACCACTAGTATTGAAACCAGATTTCTAGCTGCAGAAGTCCGCAGACATACCACTGGGTCACTGAAGGCTTAACTGTAAGTTTCGTGTACGTGTAGTTTGTAGTATGCAAGCATAGTAGTTATTTTGTACCTTCTTATTTCATAACGTTCAACTAAAATTTTTAAAAATTTTACTGGAGTACTTTTTCTTTGGTATCATGTATGTTTTCTCGTGGGTAAGATTGCTGCAAAGTAGAATATCTATGTAAAGGTAACAGTCTTTTCCACTGGCAAGTCAGGTGATACCTTGAGGATTCCCTTATGATTAGAATTACCAACAATAAAGTAGGTAATGCGCAATTGAAATTCTTTAAGGCAGGATTAGGATAAATTAATCTATAAGATCTTGGGCGTGATCAAATACACCAATTGAAAGGGTTTGTCCTCCTGAGTTGAAAACTGTAATTAGATCTCAAATCGATCAAAAGATGACAGTGCTATGAACTAAAAGTTTGTACTTGAAAAAAAAAAAAAGAGAAGAAGAATCGATCCTTGAGCCGCGGCTAAAAATCACAAAATTCAAAATAAAAAATCTTTACTTTAATAAAAATGCAGAAAATGAAATCTTAAAACAGTATCACAGAAGATCCCTTTTAACTAAGAAAAATATACAAAATACACCTTAATAAGGAAAAGGCAATGTGGAAATATATACTCACACTCGTTAAAATTAAAACTGAATGATTATAAAGGAAAGAAATATCAGACACGTTGAGATATCGTGGCCACTTTAAGTGGGGCCAATCTAACAAAATTAAGCATGAAAATAAAATTAAGAAGAAACAAAATTCTAAACCTTTTTATGCTGCCCCCATCGAGAAAGGAGTAGTCTAATATGACAATAAATAAGAATGAAATATTTATAAATTAGTGAAAAACCACAGCAAACGGAACTATCAGAAATCTAATATTAGACTTCTGACAGTTTGTTCCGTTTACTGTGGTTTTTCACTATTTGCTATACACGATATTGTGTTCTTTTATTATATATAGAAATCTTTCAAATTATAGCTCAACTAAACTGTAACTGGTGAAACGTATGCGCTTAAAGAAAAAAATGATAATATAAAAATACAGTCCATGTAATTATTGAAAGAGCCTACACTTACTTTTAAAATCTAGTGTTGAAACTTGAAAAGCAAAAAATCTTAACGACTTCTTACTTGCACACATTGGTATGCGTGAACAGGTAGTGGTGTATTGTAAATACACAAAATATACACATCATTCAAGAAAAGACAATATATACAAAACTTTATGTCCTTACACTTTCACACATGCATGAAAGAGCGAGGGCACGCTAGTACAAACGAACAAGAATAACTTATTGACGATATACACACAAAAAATGATGTCTTCCTCGTACATGCATGAGTGAGGAAGACGGAAGGCTCTCTACATTAAAATATGAAAACATCTATATATACAACTTAAGTTACTACAGATAAATGAATATACCACAAAATATACAATCACCCCAGAGTGTGACCGAGGCTATATTATTTTCACCTTTGCTCCACCCACAGAGCTTCCAGGGTTGCTGTTGTCTTTTGACTGGCGGGTGTAGATGTTCAGAGATTGGTCCAGTCTCTTTACAAGATCTGTTCAGCTTCTGTTAGCCTGGCTTGCAGGTATTTGACATTCTGCTCCTTGTATTACAGGACAGAAGTGGCCCTTTAACTAAGCTAATATTTTTCCTGATTATGGAGAGCCTAGAGCTTTCATCAGTCATTGCATGTGACTCACTCCTATGAGACATGAGAGACAACCTGTTCTCCAATTTGGCAAGATATTTCAATCTGAATACATTGACAAGCAATGCATTATTATACATGGACTTGCTAATGGTAAATGTCAGTCCAGAACTCTCCTTCTCCATGACAATTTCATGCTCCTTGCTGTAGAAGATGCCTTGGATATCCTGGAACGGTTCCGAGGCTTTGCAGGTTGAAGATGAATCCATGCTTTGGCAGAAAAACAGCAGGAAGTCTTCAGGAACAAGGCAGAAGTACCACTGGTTAATTGATGAAAGTAAGATTGGCCATTGCTAAAACTTAAACTTACATACTCATATTCCAAATTCAGATGTGAGGTTGACTGAGTTCTTATTTGTCATAGGCTCAGCCAATTGCATTGGTCTCTGTAGCTTTTTATCCCTCACAAAGTAGGGCAGGATGAATTGAAATATTGTTTTCATTCTACTCTGACTCACTAGTTTTCTTTTCGGACTACTGGTTACACAAGAGCACCAAAGTCTCGTTTTTGATGTAGTATGAACACAATTTACTGATGTGTTCCACGTGGTTTAATGCACCTACTGTAGTCCATAAATTAGAAGATCAGTTTGTTGAAATATCAGGTATGGACCAATCCAGCTGAATGCATTCTGCTTTCATGCCACTGGCATGTACCAAAACCACACTCAGTCACTTTATTGGAACATCCACTCTTTCGCCATCCAATCACAGCACTTCTTTTGTTGACATGCTGCCCTCTCAAGCTGAGGT